CCCTTCATCCCACACCCTCAGATGTGTCGGTGGCCTTCCTGTCCCCTAACCTCCCACCGCACCTGCCTGTGCACGACTCAAGGGATCAGGAAGCCAGCGGAGAAGGCCCCGCCCGCCCAGCCTCCCTGCCTCCCACGTTGCTTGATGGTCCTGAGGCCAAGATCCCCACTCGGCGTCTAGCCTGGCAGCCTGCCCAATTCTATGGCAGCCAGGAGGGGAAGATCCCCCCTCTCCGCCCCGCCTCGGGGATTGCGAGATTCCTCCGCACACCCCCAGAGAAGAGGCCCCCTCCACCACCAGTTTCACAGGACAGATTCAGCCTCGGTCCACGGGGGACCACCCCACCTCCGCGCTCGGCCTCCCAGCCTGCCTGTGGCCACCGCTCCAGACCGCAGGGCAAGTCCCAGGCTCCCAGTCCGGCCCCCTCAAGTCCGGCCGCTGAGGCTCAACCTGGAGCCTCCGCCTGCACCCCTGGCACCAGCAGCCCTGGTGGACATCCCCAGGGACCTGAGGGCTCCCAACACACAGCCTCTGCCAGTCCCAAGGACCAGGGCTGCCAGGGATTGGCCAGGAAGTTCATCAGCTGTCTGAGAGAAAACTGCTGCATCCAGGTCCCCAAGAGCAGGCCCAGCCGAGTGGCTCCAGCTCCGGCAAAGGCATCCAACAGGTAAGTGAGCACTGAGGCTGCACCCTGCCTGCTATGGATTTCCACCTTAGTAGTTACTGACAGCAGCATTGTGACCGTCTTGGGGGACAAGGGCAGTTTATTAGGTAGGATGTGGACAGGTTAAATCAAGCTCATTAAAACTGAAGTTTCCTCTTGCATTTTGAAGGGACTGCAAGAACGCCCTGAGGTCCACCAGGCTGTGAGAGACTAACCAGCTTCGACTACTCCAGGCGGGAGCTGGGCAAGGCCTTGGACACTGGAGGATGGAGTGCGCTGACCACATCGCCGCCAGGAGCAGACCTCGCAGGAGTGGCCTTGGAAATCACCTCTACAGCAACCTGACAGGACAGTCTGGAGCCAGCCTGGGACAGCAGGGCTCCTAGCCCACGCCTGGGGCAACATGAGAATGGACTTTTTCCTGCCCACTTCTCCCCTCTTCTGTTCTCTGAATAAAATTCACAAATATTTTGCTGGAGTGCATTCATCTTGAACAGGGCTAGGCTTATCTTGTTCCCTAAAGTAGTAGTTGGCGTGAAATGAGGGAGTCGAAAGACTCACTTCCCACAATGTCCAGGTGACCCTAAGCCAGAGTAAATTATTAAAAGTGGTTCCGAAGGGATAAAGCAGGGTAAAAATGCAGGCTTTGGGTCTGACCTCCCCAAGCTAACATTACCTGCCTTCATTTTAGGGGGACTGCAGAACTTCAGGTTGTCTGGCTGTGGTGACGATGTCGCGTGTCCAGAAGAGGACGATGGCGTCCTGTGGACCCTATACTGTTCACTGGTCTCCCAGGGCCGAGGTCCTTGGACTGTGCTGCTGAGTCTGCTTGCTGTGGAAGCCAGGCCTGTGCACAGTGATGAGTGTTCTGTTCCGGTTGTAGAAACACTTTCTCTAAGACCTGACTGAGGTTGGGGCCAGCCAGCTTTCCAAGGGCTGCTCTGAGGCCAGCCACAGTTTGGGGGTCATAGGGAGAATTTATGGCGAGACAGCAGCCTGCAGGGATGGAGGGGGCAGCCTGAAAGTGGCTTTCCTAAGGCCAGCCGCAGGCTCCCAGGCACCCAGGATTCCCACCTTGGGCATCAGTGTTTTCAGAAACCCATCGGGGAGCCGCCTCCTGGCTTCCTAAGGGACCTAGGGACCTTCAGGATGGCCTTGGCCCTCATGCATGGCCAGTCATGGTGTTGGCACAGACTTAACCTCAAGGGGCCTGGGATGGAATCTGATCAGTCAGAAGAGGTTCTCCTTGACTCAGAGTAGTGCCAGGGCACCAAGAAGCTGGCTGGACTCGGGGGGTGGGGGGGAGTCTTGTCATTCTTTTTGCCCCCTGCATTGGTTTTCTTTATGCTTCACTGCCCGACGTGTGCTCTCCTGCTTTGCTCTCCATCAGTTCTCTGCCTAGCTCTACCCCTTCAGGGCAAGTCTCAGGTCCTTAGCGGACTCTTGGGCCTCTCCCTGACCTGGCCCCTGGAGGTCTTTTCAGCCACACCTGCCATCTGCCACTTTACACATGTTCAACCATCTCATTTGTCACAGACCCAATCACACCTCGTTTTTGTCATAGGATGGGAGAGTTGATCTGCGTTGTGTAAAATCCTTGGTTCTTTAGGTCCAGATCTCTGATTAGAGACCCATGTTGAGATGCAAACACTTGTAGAGCAGAAAAACGGACATTTTAATAGGAAAGTGAAGAGTTTTAATAGGAAAGGAGTCCACTTCCATGCCTGAAGGACATGCAGGTGGGCAGCTGCTGGGGGACAACTGCACTGGGTATGGGTGTAGGTCTTACATTTATTCCAAGATTTAATCATGAATATTTAGCAGGGAAAGGTCCATCAGAGTATCAGGGTTTTTTGAATTCATGGGCTTTTTCTTGTGCTTGTGGATCTCTCTCACAATTAATGGGAATTAGGATATTCACCAAAATGTCTTGTTGGGTCCCTTTGTATTTATGAGGAATGACAAGAGGGAAATTTATGACTATTCCTGTGTGTTGTCCTCAGATACTAAAGAAGGAAAATGGATCTGCCTTGCCATCCCGGTGCCAGGAGCTGGATGGGAGAGAGGAGTCTCTGCAGATGGTCTGGTTTTAACTCCTGCTAAGCTGTGATGTGGCTGCTGTCCAATTTTCTGAGGGCTACCCACTCATTTCTAGCTAACTGCCTATCACACTCCTCCCTCTCAAGGACTTAGACCTTGAAATGATGCAGGGAAATCGGACTGACTAAAGGTTTCTTTTATTGTAGTTACTTTCAGTTGATAGGCCAAAGAGAGGGGAGTCGGAGTCTCAGTCTCTGCTTTCTGTCAGGCCAGCCCCAAGACCATGTAGACTTCAGAGGGGTCCTCACATGAATTACTCCTCCTGTATTTAGAGGAGAAAGATCAACATCGTTAGACACTGGTTGAATGGCCCGTCACACTTTGCACTCGGCATTTCTCCCTGGGAAACTCATAGTCTGCCCATCTGTCCACTGGGTTCCCCAATGTAAGAAGCTGATTGGAGATTTTGTGTGTCTGAACATAACTTGTTTACCTTTGGGAAATGAAATCAATGTACAGGAATCTATAGAATTTGAGATTCATTAAAAATGACCTGGCCTCAGAGAGGCAGAAGTATGAAGACCTGGTCATAGCCTACATCCCCGGTGGTCTTTGCCCCAAAGGCTAGTCTTAGCCGTTTACAGTAAACAGTCCACACCCATGTCCAGGGCAGTCATTTTAAGGAATGCTTCCATTTACAGTAAGCATGTGGACCCCCATCCCATCTTCATTGCAATGTTCAGAATTCATGATAGACTGTACGGTCAATCAGTACCCTGTATTATTTTAAATAGACTAATTCTATTTTTTTTTTAATCTAGGGAAAGTCATATTTTTTTTTTTT